TCTCTCTCTCTCTCTCTCTCTCTCTCTCTCTCTCTCTCTCTCTCTCTCTCTCTCTCTCTCTCTCTCTCTCTCTCTCTCTCTCTCTCTCTCTCTCTCTCTCTCTCTCTCTCTCTCTCTCTCTCTCTCTCTTACTGTCTCTTCTCCCCTCAGGTCGGGCAGTCTCCCTTGCTCTGCGCCGGCGGCTCACCGTTGCGCAGCGCATTGGGCCAGCCCCAAGAATGCGCCTGTTAAAGTACAGTAGGCGCCCGCGCACAAATGCCCAGACATCCAACGCCCGCGCATCCACACCACCCACCCCGGCCCAGTTCCAGTGCCGAAGGACATCCACACCTTCAATGTTTCCACTGTTGAGGCGCACTAGCCACTACCACGCAGCACACGGCTCCACTCGGCACGTCGCTTGCTGACTCTCGACGGTCGGCGGTCTAGCTTGCGCCATCCATTGCGACTGGAATCCGGTCATTTTGATATCGGGAGCGCTCCCCATTGACACCCCATTGACCGCGGTCCTCATCGGCCGAAACAAAGAATTGGACGCACTTAGCCTTGAGGGGTATGCCCTTCTTGCCCTCCCGTACGGCGCGAATAACAGCCGTCCGTCCCACCGTCGGGAGTGCGAGGAAAAAAGCATCACATATATCCTCTGGACTTTGCCTGCTCTTCCCGCTCCCTTGTGTCATTCGATCGTGCCACCCACCACCACTGGCTGGCCCTTTGTGGGATGGGCGGCAGAGCAAGGATGGGTTGCGATCCAGAGAGGCCCAGTTTCGCTGGTCGCATGTGCATTGTCCGCGGGTGGGCTCGTTTTCTGTGACGCTAACTGGCCGCCGTTCCCACACACACTCGCCTTCACGACTTTGCAGAGACACGCAGAGCCCAGTCGCAGCAGAAGCGCAACGACCGCAGTCGCGAGGCGAGTGAGGCGTGCGTTTCCTTTTCCGATCTTGCCATCGAGGGAGACCTAGCAGGCAGGAAGCCATCCGTTTTGCGCAAATGCTCCTGCGCACGCCTTGCCGTCGGCCAGATCAGACGGTGAGCGTGGGGAGCAAAGGACATGCATGACACACGGATGCTTCCCACAGTCTTTTTCTTTTCTTTTCTTTTCACTCTTTTCTTTTTGCCTTTCCCTATCCTGTCTGCTTTTTCGCACACTCTCATCTCTTTTTCATCTTGCCCCCTCCTCATACTGCTTTGGGCGCCGGGATTGACTCCGCCCGGCTGCTTGCGCTCTTTTCTGGGTTTGCCATTGTGGGTAGACCCTCCATCCTGGCCTGGCTCTCGCTCGGCCACGCATCCCTGGCCACATCATCAGGCAAAGGCAAGAAAGGACAAGGAGCAGCGATGCGGCGCCCTCTATGGCCCGTCGGTAGCTTTCAATGCAAAGAAGATGAAAAACAAGCACAAAAGCGGGGGTTTGTTTGCGCCCGCGCATCCGCGTCCAGGCGAGGAAAAAAATAAAGAAAGAAAAAAAAGGCGACAAGACAGCAAAGCCATCTCACCCAAGCCGATCGTAAGGCACTAAAACGTAAACTCAGGCTGGGCCACACAGGCCCATGCAACTCGCGATCTGCCCTGGTCCCGTCGCACGCCCGCGAAACACATCAACAAAAAAAACAACAACAAACAACAACAACAAAACAACGGGGTTAAAACATTGGTCGGCGCAGGGCCCCGCTCCCGCGCCCTGGAGAGGGGTAGCCGGCCGCCTTTCCAGGCCACGCGGTGGCCGTTTCGGCCACTGGTGAGTCTGGCGACGAAGCGTCCCGAACCTCCCGATCGCAAACAGCGTTTCCCTATGTTCCCTTTTTCCTGTCGGCCATCAGGGTCCCCTTGGCTCAGGTTGCGCGATGGCCAATGCGCGCGCGCTTGGGTGGGAGGGGTGGGACTGGCCAATGACGTGGGCCAGGGCCGGACCCGACTTTGCTCTGGGTGGTGTGACAGGAAACACTGCCATGATCCGGTGGCCATGCCATGTTTAGCAGTGTCGCATTATCCGTATGCGCGCGTGCGCGCGTGCGCGCGTGTGTACGGTTGTGTGAGCCGGGCATGGCTTTGCCATGTCCGTTGAAAGATTGGGATATCGAAATAAAAGGGTGATTGTGGCTCGGGAGGAGGCAGAGCTACGGAGGAAATCATCATCCGAACAGACGAGGCAGGGTGCGCACTGGCGGGCGGGGGTGAAAACGAGGGTGTGGAGGCGACCGTGATTTTTCTCTTTCTTCTTTTTTTGTCCGGCTCTCCTGAAGAAACGGGTCCTAGTATGAACCACACAACACAGCCTTCCCCGCCCTTACCATTACCATTACCGTTCACTGCCATTGCCAGGCGGCGCTCGTGTCTGCGCTGGTCGCATTCACGTAACGGGTGATGTATTTTGGACACCCGCTTGGGTCCCGTCCTCTTGCTTTCCGGGCCTCTTCCTTGACATGATACTCCCCCGCCCGCTATTCCACCTGGTGCGTTGTCAGCAAGAACCTTTCTCGGGAGCGCGTTTCATCACTGGCCAGGTACCCGTGCTTAACGCCCTCGGCCTGCAATAGCCTCCAGGCTACCTGTGCCTAGCTCGGCCCCAGCGATCACAATGACCACGCGTTTTCCCTATGCAATGCACTACTGCTCCCGTCCCACTGCTGCTGGCTCTGCTACTGCTGCTTTTTTTGCGCCCGACGATGTTGACAACGAGACCCGGGATCCGCAATCGGGCAGTGGCATGTCCAATTCCGATTTGCTCCGCCCATATTGGTTCGCCACCCCCCTCAAGAGCTGCTGCTGCTGCTGCTGCTGCTGCTGCAGACTACAGAATGGGGCCCCTCCCTCCACCGGCCATGCGCCGCGATCGATGGCCATGGGCGTCGCTGTCGCATCGTGTCTGCCAATCGTTGCGCAAGCGCAAAAACTCCCCCCTCGACCCCCTCGACCCGTGCGCAGACCGCGCTCGGTAGGCCGGCAGCTGTCCAAGTTGAAGGCCAGACCGGGCCAGGCCAGAGGTGACCTCGTGGGCTAAGGGGCTAGTTTTAGAACATGGGGGAGGAAGACGGGCTAGTCGGAATGTAGGAATGCGTGTGCCTACCTATACCTAGCCACCTACGATGGCGCGCTTTCGAGGCACAGTCATGTGCGCGCACTTAAAGAAGGGCGGTCAGAGACGAGGGCCGTTGCTTTCTTCCTTTTCGACTGCAGGCGCGGGCGGGAGGGGCGCGCGGTGTGCGAGGGGCGCAAATAAAAATCTACACCTGTGCCATCTCTTGATGCCAGGTCTGGCTGGGTGTGCGCTGGCAGGGCTTCAAACGTGCCCGGCATCCGTCGAATCAAGCCGCAACTGGCGACCTGGGCTTCGCATTGGCTTGCGCAAACGGGCTTAAAAGATTTCCCAGATGCCCAGCCAAGCCTGCGCCCTCGCCGTTCGGCGTGAACACGCACCATGTGCATGCAGCAGGGTTGGGTCCGGATGGAGACCTGGATCTGCCCAGCCCCCAGAGTGTCCGGTCGTCTCCTCCCGCTTCCCAGGGTCCCAGCGGACCAGAGGCTGGAGGGGAGGAAGATATGCCGCACGATCCTGTGCCTGGCATCTGGACTGTCAGATGGGAGGGGGGAACGGGTGGTGAGAGACCAGGCAATCTCTTTATCCGACTTGTCGTGCGCGAGACATGGAGTTCAGCTCCCAGATCCAAGGCTCTCGTCAATTGCCGGGTCTTTGGACATCCTGGATCGGCACTCAGCCAGCCATGGGGACGGCTGAGAAAGATGATACGGAACGCGCCAACGGATAAGCAATGCGCTATCGAAATGGCGACGGATAGACTCTCTTGCCCGCTGCAGGCATGAGACGCTCACGTAGGTTCTGACAGATGAGAATCGCGAGAGAGAGTGGCGTAGATACACATTGGAGCTCAAATGTTGCTATCACCTGAGCCTGCCCTGCAAACCTCCTCAGCTCGCTCTTTTGTGTCCAACCATTGTTTGCTCAACCCCGGCGATACCTTGAGGGGCTTTGTTTGGGGAGAGTGGTTGTTTGGTGGAGTAGATATGCCACTAGAAAAGGGATGGAACCCGGGGGAGATGAAGAATCTAAGCCATGCGTAAGCGACGATTACGATTGGAGTCAGGAGTCAAGCACGCCTTTGAGATAACGACCATACGGGGCCAAAAAAAGTAAGGCTTGAATGGCGCCACGCACTCCTAGGGCAGCGTGGAGCCCAGACCGCGCACACGAACGTGAGAGAAGCGCCGCTGTTGCATGTGCGGGAGGATATGAGTTCGTGTGCAACGTCGTCGACATCTCGCCCAGAACCTCTTGCCGTGGGGAGGCGCGGCATGTCCAGAGGCGAAATTGTCAAGCTCGGCATGCAGATGTTGTTGGCCGGCTCTCTGCGTTTGGCTCTTCGTCGGGTTATGCTGACCCCCCTGCCCCGGCATCACCGGAAGCGATTGCACAATCGCGTGCGGCCGCCCACGCAGCTCGTGGCCTGCGCGCGCATGCGAACGGTGCAAAGCGAGAACGGGCCAGGGGGGGGGGGGGGCGGCATTACTTGCCAGGCAGCGAGGGCGGGGAAAAATAACAAAGGCAAAATGTGACGATCCGGGGCGGGCAGCCGTTGGCGTGTTGGATAGCGACCGGAATCAAAACAAGCTGCTTCAGATGCAACGGCAGCTCGGCGCCTGAGTGGCCAGGGCTGCATCGTCTTCGAAACCAGGTAGCCCAGAGGCCGTGCGCTCCCTGGATAGCGGAGTGGGCGGGAATCCATCTTGCGTGCGTCTCCCCCAGCCGGCAGAACTGCTTGGCCGGAAAGAACGCCCCTCAGGGCTCAAGGCAGGCGGGAGAACGGCCGCATCACATGGCCCTGCCGGAAATCGACGGGGTCTGCCTGGAGAGGCGTCTCGGTGAGGATCGGAAGGGCTTCCGCAAGAGTCATAGGTGGTGGACGCATTGTCTGTCGTCTCCTCGGAGCCCCTCGCTTTGAGGTTCGGCGGGGTCACGTGAACACGCACCCCGGTCGTGCAATGACCCTAACCCTGCGGCGCGTAAGGGTCTGCGAATGTTGAGTCCCTCCGCAACACCGCAAAAGAGATCGAACAAAGTCACAGGGAAGGAGTATAAATCTCCTACATTCTCAGAATGGTCGCCTGGATTTATTTGACCCTTTGTGGTCGGCTGGGTTGCTGGATCATTGATTCAATAAAAGTCATGGCGATTTGGGAGACGCGCCGGGCTGGCTGGGCCGTGCGTCATGTCCCAAATAGGCAGACTCGATTGCTGGGCAACCAGAGGGGTAGGGGGTACATGCAAAGGAAGCACGCTAGCGCGGAGAGCTTGGGCCAGCTGCAGTGGGAAATAAACAACTTTTAGGCGTAATTACAGACAAAGCAGGAAAGGCCGTCCCCAGTTCTTTGTTGGGGGCAGGTGCAGGCGTGCGGGCCCTGAGAAATAAAAACAACAAGCCGCCAGCCGCCCGTGATTTTTCAGGACGACGTCTCTTCACCTTCAACTCGGGCATTTTGAAGACGGCCAGCGGAGTGCGAGCGTATGCAGGCGACATTTATTTCTCCTCTGTCGATTATCTGCCATCGCGTTTCCATTCCCCTTTTCTCTTTTGGAGCCGCGCGCGATATCCTTGTCGTCTTTGTTCGACTACCTCTGTTTACTCCAGGGACATCTCGGCGAGCCGTACCAGGAACGAGCCTAATCTCAGCAAACGGGCCTCGACCACCGCCACAGCACGCTCGCATCGTGCCCGCCAGCAACAGAAATTTCAACCGTCGGCGCCATCATCACGCCCGCGAAGCCACCCAGCCAGGCCCTAGCAGCGACAAAACTTTGGATGTTGACGTAGCCCAACACTCTACGGGTTGACCACGCGCGCCTTCGATCGGGAACCATTGCACCGCCTGCGAATTTGTCCGAAACGTTACTCGCAATCATGGACTCAAGAGTAAGTATCCCCTGCAGTCTTTCCTTTGTTGTAGTTGGGTCTCTTTCTCGTCTTGTGTCCCGTAGCCATCTGGTACTCGTCGGACAGGTGCAGCTCGGTTTCAAGGAGCCTGTGCTTGCAAAGAACAATGATACAATTGAGCCTTTCTCAGCCGCCCTCGAGAGTCACAGTATCATGCTAACGAAGCTCCGCTAGCCTCACCGCCCGCTCCGCCTCGGGATGGCCGCGGCCAATGGAAACGAGAACGCTGCACCGCTCAAGCAGGCATTACACCAACGGCACAAGTCGACGGGACAGATCAAGAACTCGACGAGCCTGATCCCCGGCGGCGGTCTGAAGCTGGCTCCGAAGCGGGCCGCGTTCGGCGAGGTAAACACAAATGTTCGTGCGGTAGGACTGGAGCTGAACTCCAAGAAGGCGCCCATGCAGACCATCAACTCGGGCAAGGAGAACAGCGGCAGCGGCGCCGTCGGCAAGAAGAACACGATATTGCAGCAGCCCGCCCAGCGCCTCAAGATTCACGGCTCCACCGTGAATCAGACCTCCGTCACCCATGCTGCCGACGTCTACCCGACGCGTCAGTCAATGATCCCCGAAAGCCACCATCCCATCACCCGCAAGCCTCATGTGGAGGCACAAGCCCCGCAAGCAGTGAAGGCTGTCGCCACCAAAAAGGCTTCCTTCGTCTACGACGATTCCCGGCAACTCGCCCAGGCCCGAGCTACTGACGCTCGTCCTGCGACCGCCGTTGACGAAGCCGCGGCTCAGATCAAACCTGAGATGGCTGTTAAGAACCCCCGTCAGTACAAGAGCCAGCCGCACCTCAGGACGGAACAGCCTGCCTTGAGGAGAACGGTGAGCAGGCAGCTGGGCGAAGTCAGGGAACTTCCAATCGTTGAGCAGCACGAAGTCCCCGACACACCTTACGAGGACGCGCTCGAGGAACTTATCGAAGCCAACGAGGCTTGTGGCGGCACCTCAATCTCTGCGTCGGTCGATATTGACGTCAGGACTGAGCTCATTGGGCGCAAAATGGAGGCTGCTCCTGCAGCTACCGTGGCCTTCGAGTCGGAGGATAACTGGGACGAAGAGGATGTGGAGCTTGACGAGGACCAGGGCTACACAACCGCACACTCTTTCAAGTCACATGGTGACAACACCACCCAAGGTCTTGCTGTTCTCCTCGCGCCCAAGGTCACCGTTCGAATTCGGGAGGAGCTGGAGCTGGCCAGGATTGCCGTTGAGGAGTCGCGCACCTTCGACGAGATCGAGGAGGAGCAGTGGGACGTCAGTATGGTGGCGGAATACGGCGACGAGATCTTCAGCTACATGCGGGAGCTTGAGGTATGTGCTTGTTACCGCCCGAGCATCATGCTCCCCCCTGCTGGTTATGGGGCCCTGAGTAATTTTGCGAGTGCTAACCATTGGTTGTTCTTAGACTCGGATGGCTCCTGATGCGCACTACATGGACATCCAGACCGAGATCCAATGGTCGATGCGCTCAGTCTTGATAGACTGGGTCATTCAGGTCCATCATCGCTTCTCTCTACTCCCCGAGACTCTGTTCCTGAGCGTCAACTACATCGACCGGTTCCTCTCCCAGAAGGTGGTGTCAGTTGCGAAGCTGCAACTCGTCGGCGCCACGGCCCTTTTCATCGCGGCAAAATACGAGGAGATCAACTGCCCGTCTGTCAACGAGATAATATTCATGGTCGACAATGGCTTCTCGGCCGACGAGATTCTCAAGGCCGAGCGCTTCATGCTGAGCATGCTTCAGTTTGAGCTTGGATGGCCCGGCCCGATGAGCTTCCTGCGCCGCATCAGCAAGGCCGATGATTACGACCTGGAGACGCGCACGCTGGCCAAGTACTTCCTCGAGGTGACCATCATGGACGAGCGCTTTGTGAGCTGCCCGCCCAGCTATCTTGCTGCTGGCGCTCACTGCCTCTCGCGCATGATTCTCAGGAAAGGAGACTGGGTATGTCGCATTTCCTCCCCACCACTACTCATTCTTCGAAGTACTCAACGCGATTTGCTAACTGCGTCTACAGTCCCAAGCCCACACTCACTGGGCTGGCTACACATGGTCCCAGATTCGCCCCCTTGTGAAGCTGATGCTCGAGTGCTGCCACAACCCGGAGAAGCACCACCAAGCCGTCTACGAGAAGTACCTCGACCGCAGGTACAAGGGTGCTTCGGCCTACGTCCAGGAACAGATCGACTACGGCTTCACGCTCCCGCAGCAGGGCCAGCCTGCTCTGCCCGAGACCCCGACGACTCCCGACGATCTCTTGTCGCACTCTCCATTCCCTTCGCTCGAGATGAACCGCCTCATGGCCATTGCAACGAGCCAAGCATGAAACATGCTAGAATGCATGCATCCGAACGATACACTCGCCTTTTAACCGCCACATCGACGGTGGCTGCTTGTGACGCCAGTCCCAACGGCACCATCGACTATCTCCTCACCAACGTCGACACACCTTTTGTGTCCACGTCGCGATATTGCACGACAACGACCATGACCTGGCGGACCATCGGTCCTGAACGCGCAATAGCTTGCCGGGAAAAGTTTCTCTGACGCGACGGTCTCATTTATCTTCCTATTGTTTATTATTTATTACGCTACCATCATGGCCGATTACGAGAACCACGACAGCATCCTCCTCGATCATATTTGCCTCGTCGGGACCTCCACACTCACCATAATGCTTTTTAAACTCCACACTCTCCCGTCTCTGCACACATTTACTCATACGTTTCCCTTCGGGCCTTTGCGCGGCATCTTTGAAAACTCGCTTCTTGGACGACCAGGTAGAGACGGACACCAACAGGGAACGGACAGCACGCCAGCTCGGGCGTCTGTGCTTGGCTTGCGAGCAAAGTGGGAGGAACCTCGATTTATCGGGAAACTAATTCACCATGGAATGATGGTATCCGACGGAAAATACGGCGTTTTACGGAGGCGGAGGGTTTGCATTTGACACGACTTTGTTATGTATTAAAGGTGTACTTTCTGCAGTGGGTTTTTTAAGCCGGGAAAGGGGGAGGATTAGGCGACAACGAGTGCGTTAACTTCTCTGTTTGCCCTCTTTTCTTTTTTACACGCTTGATCTTCCACTCTTCTTCTCTGTTGTCTCTACTCCCCCTTCCTGGCGACTTATCCGGGAAATTGGCGGTCTGTTTGACTATTATTAGACATCTCGTGGGCATCCGAGCAAAGGATTCGTCAGGTATTGCCTCAAATACATCGGTAATATGAGTACGAGGTACAATTGCCGCTGCTTCTTTCGACCCGTTGTTCGTTTGTGCTCGTGCAATGGCCGATGGCCTGCATCAGTGACGATTTATCACATGGGGAGTATGGTGGCATTCCCAATCTCGATGTTCAGTTGCTGAGCGTCACACAGGCAACAGCCATGGACGTAGGCAACCGAGTGACTGTGTGTCGTTTTCCGTTCTTGAGACCTATGTGAAAAAACCGTCACTCGCATACCGGCCCTGGGATTCGGTGTTCTGGGATTGACTTCATATTGTCGCTTGTGAGATTCTTAGACACACGCAATTCTCGTGTGGGTTGCCTTGCCTTGGATAAGGGCACCTCTTTTCTCACTGAGCTAGGGGGCGCCGAAGAGCCGCAGCGAATTAGAAGGAAGCCGGCAAAGGGGAAAAAAAGGCGTCGACCGCACCCCCTGGCGGGGATAGCGCTCCACGATTCGCGCGCAAGGAAACAAGGGGAAAATAATGATGATAATAATAAGAAACAAGCGTGCACGTGGTTGACTCGGGAGGCAGTTTGAGAGGACGGGACACCAATGCCATACTGCCAGCACTGCCCCGGCAGCCACATTCAGGTTCTAGTCGAGGCAATACTGTGTACACGCACCAACAAACTGAGGCTGAACTGTGGCCGAGATTAGGCCAATTGGCAGACGGCCAGCATCATGTGTCTGTCGGCGGCTGGGTTTGCTGACACTAGCCCCAAAATTCAATCGCCCTGGGCCTGTGCTGCATGTGGGCTGCCACCAGACCCCTGTCACAGATCGTGCCGCCGTGGCCGAGAACGGAATAGGCGGCCGCTTTTTTCTTTCTTTTTGCGACAGCATGGGGTTTTAAAAAAAAAGCTACGAACGGTGTGGGAGGCCAGAAGAAGGCGCAAATTGTTCTTTTTGCACACAGGGGTTGACCACCGCAAACCACATCTGCGCCATTTGCTCCTTTTTGGCTTGTGCCCTTTTAATCTTCTGTATCTCCTATTCCATTTTGTGCCCTGCATAGACAGACAGATTCTCTAGACCGTTAGACCTCCACTTAGACTCCCTCGCTGTCCCCTCGATAGCCCACCCACCCGCCCTTTTCACTCACCCTGGCAGCATCTCCTCCCTCGCCCATCCATCCACTTGTGACTCGTCCTCGTCCCACCACGAGCACACGCGCCGGTCCCGGAGACGACCCTGCAAATTTCACTCAACCCACCGGGATCCCTCCTCCTCTCGGCGCTGTCCAAAGGCCGCCTTCAAGCCCCCGTGCGGCCTACGAACAGCCCGCCTCCATCCCCGGATCAACAGCACCTGTGATCCACACCCACAGAACCACCCACTTAACCCTCAAGTCCACCGAAACCCCGGTTCGTGCTGGCCCGTTTGCCGAGTACCCCCGAGCCAAAACCCTCGAGCCGCGTATCGTAATCCGCGACCTGGCGAGCCCCCCACCAAACACCAAGCCGAGTCTCGACGGGAGAAACCTCGGAGCTATATCATAGCACCTAGACAGCCTCAAGTCCGGGGGACGCACCCACGCCCAAGAGCTGGTGATACCACACAGACCAACACGCCGTCAAGATGGCAACGAAAGCGGCGGCGGTCAAGGAGGCCGTCAAGGAGACCTTGATAGGCTCGACCGAGGAGCCCGCCAAACTCTCTGCCCAGACCAAGGCGCGCTTCCACAAGTTCGCCGCCAAGGACCCGTCCTCGGGAGAGCTGTCCATGGGCGTTGAGGAGTTCACCAACGCCATCGCCCCGCCAGAAGAGGACTACGTGAGTTGCCTGAACCCCTGGTGTGCTGTTGGCCTAGAGCTATCTTCGATGCGGGGGTCCTCGGCGCCGTGTCCTCGCGGCTCGAGGCGTGGTCGGCAAGGGAGGATGACTCGAGGCTGACCGAGGACCGCGTTCCGGACCTGCAGCACAAGATCAAGCGCGAACAGTACTCGATCCTCTTCAGGGTGGCGGACCGCAAGGGTGCCGGCCGCGTGTCCCTGGCCGACTGGGCCTACTTCGAGAATGTCCTCATGAAGCCCGACGCCGAGTACGAGATCGCATTCCGGCTGTTCGACGTCGAGCGCCTGGGCACTGTCAAGTACGAGGACTTTAGGCGCCTGTACGAGCTCAACAAGGGCGAGCACACCATCCCCTTCAACTGGGACTGCGAGTGGGCCAAGCTGTACATTGGCGACAGGAAGAAGCGCCACAGCATGGACTACCCCCAGTTCTCGCAGATGCTGCGCGGCCTGCAGGGCGAGCGTATCCGCCAGGCCTTCCTGCTCTTCGACCGCGATGGCGACGGCTTCATCGAGCCCGAAGATTTCGAGCGCATCATCCTTGAGACGTCCAAGCACAAGCTGTCGGACCACCTGCTCCAGAACCTGAGCACGCTGTGCAACATCTCGAAGGGCAGCAAGGTGTCCTACGCCAACGTGCGCGCCTTCCAGAACATGATCAAGGAGATGGACCTGGTCGAGCTCATTGTGCGCCGGGCCTGCGCAAAGAGCGCCGATGGCAAGATCACGAGGACTGAGTTCCTGAACCAGGCCGCCAACATTACCCGCTTCTCCCTATTCACCCCCATGGAGGCCGATATTCTCTTCCACTTTGCCAGCCTGGACGAGCCGTCGGGCCGCCTAGGCCTGCGCGACTTTGCAAAGGTCCTGGACTCGTCTTGGAGGAGCGAGGGCCACCCGCGGGCGCAGGCCGCCATGTCGGCCGTGGCGGAGGCGGGGCGGTCGACGGCGCAAAGGTTCCTGCACGAGGCCCTCGAGGGCGCCTACAACTTTGGGCTGGGCAGCGTGGCGGGTGCCTTTGGTGCCTTCATGGTGTATCCCATCGACCTGGTCAAGACGCGCATGCAGAACCAGCGCGGCGTGCGCCCCGGCGAGCGGCTGTACAAGAACTCCATCGACTGCTTCCAGAAGGTGGTGCGGAACGAGGGGTTCCTGGGCCTGTACTCGGGCGTGCTGCCGCAGCTAGTCGGCGTCGCGCCCGAGAAGGCCATCAAGCTGACGGTAAACGACCTCGTGCGCGGCTGGGCGACGGACAAGAACGGCAACATCGGGTGGGCGAGCGAGGTCTTGGCTGGTGGTAGTGCAGGCGCTTGCCAAGTTGTAAGTATTTGTGCTCAGACAGAGCCTCTTCTCTTTGCTGAGGCGTTGCGCGTGCCGGGCTTACCCCTTGTTTCTCTTTTGCGCAACAGGTCTTCACCAACCCTCTCGAGATCGTCAAGATCCGACTCCAGATCCAGGGCGAGGTGGCCAAGACGGTGGCGGACGCGCCCAAGCGGTCGGCCATGTGGATTGTGCGCAACCTTGGCCTGATGGGCTTGTACAAGGGCGCGTCGGCGTGCCTGCTGCGCGACGTGCCCTTCTCGGCCATCTACTTCCCGGCCTACAGCCACCTCAAGAAGGACGTGTTCGGCGAGTCGCCGACCAAGAAGCTCGGCGTCCTGCAGCTCCTCCTCTCGGGCGCCATCGCGGGCATGCCAGCCGCGTACCTGACGACGCCCTTTGACGTCATCAAGACGCGCCTCCAGGTCGAGCAGCGCAAGGGCGAGACGAGCTACACGGGCCTGCGGCACGCCGCCAGCACCATACTGAAGGAGGAAGGGTTCCGGGCCTTCTTCAAGGGCGGCCTGGCCCGCATATTCCGCTCGTCGCCCCAGTTCGGCTTCACCCTCACCGCCTACGAGATCCTGCAGACCTCCATCCCCTACCCGGGCGGCAAGGCCCGCGAGCTGGCCGGCGCCACGGGCCCGCTGCTCGGCGGCGGCGGCGTCTCGGCCACGCTGTCGGAGAAGGCGTCGGTGGACTCGAGCCCGTTCGCGCGCAGCAGGAGCGCGCTCAAGATCATCCTCGACCTCGACGAGGACTTTGGCAAGGTCAAGGTCGGCGGCGAGGCGTGGAGGACGCTGCCCGGCGTCATGGGGGGCGGTGCTCGCTCTGGCTGAAACTAAAAAAGAAGAATAGAAAAAGACAGAACCAGATCCGTCATTTGGATTCCTGGGGATTGGGTTTATCTATGGGGTTTCTTTTGGCAGGGAAAAGAAAAGAAACGTTACCTCTTTTTTTTTGCTCCTTTGTCCTTGTTGTTTATTGTCTTGTTTACTGCTGTTGTGTCGTGTCTGACCGAGTTTTTGGCTTTCCATGTCGTGGTTGAGCTTGCCCGAGTGATAATCTCAGCCCCTCTGACTCCGACCGGATGGCTCTTCCTTCCATTTGGTGAGATGGCCGTTGGGAAAGAGCGGGCGAGGGAGGGGTGCAAGCACCTGCATGGACAACTTGAGGACGGGGCGTGTCCAAACTCGTACCACTTTGCGCAGCTGTCTGCTGGTGGGACCTTCCCTCTTCATCTCGCCAGAACCCGCCATCCTATCTTTTTCTTTTTCCTTTCAGGCCGTCTGATTCCCTAATTCGGACGGACCGTCACCTTTCTTTTCCCCAAGGCAAGAAAAAACACTGCCCAAGTTGGAGATTCTTTGTTTTTAGCATGGGACGGGATTTGGGAAGACGGAGGCGGTGCACAAGCATGAGAAAGAAGCATAAAATCGTCGGGAGGGAACATTCTAATCTTGGAGGCCTCTTATATTCTTTGTTTCTGTCTTTTCTTGCCCGCTTCATTCTGACATTTTCCCCATTTGGTTCGGCGTTGAAACGAGGTTGCCTTTTGGGGGTAGCATCTTGCATTTTTCCGCTTCCGTGCTTCTCCGGCACAAGCTCCTTTTGATTCCAACTGTTTTGTTTCTCATGTGCTTCATTGCGACTCTAGAAGGTATTAGATCTTGGAGACGAGCCGTGATGCTGTTTTCGTTTGTTGGGGTCGTCGTCTGTACCGGATAGACAGAACTTGATACTTCCATCTGTAGTTTGTATTGGCAATTTCTCCTTAGAACCACCTGCTTCTTCGTGACTCATCCCATCGTCTCAACGAGGTGGCAACGGCCCCCAAACGAGCCCCCATCGCAGTCATATCATGTCACCACAACCCACCCAGCCAGGCGAGGGAATTGCTTATATGAGACGACGGAGATCCTGCGCGGGCGATAAGAAAATCTCGTCAGCTGTCAAGCTTATACTGGAGATAACACATCGCGGTTGTTATACTTGCCTCCAGACTGCTCAGGCCATCGTACGACCCGGCCTCGGCTTGCGGGGCGACCAAGAGGCCCTCGAGCTTCCTCTTTGACTGCTGAAGTTCCAGCACGCGCTGTTGTCGCACAACTTGTGTGTAAGTCGGCCATCCGCGGGAGAGTCAGTTGGGGGCAGCTGTTGACTTACCTCTTCGAACGTGTCCTTCACAAAGAAGCGCACCGTTTTCACTTCACTCTTTTGCCCAAGCCGGTGGATCCTAGCCAGGGCTTGCTCTTCGACAGTAGGGTTCCTGTGAATGTGTTAGTATGTTGTGGACTACGGTCGGATTTGGGGAACGTACCAATGAGGCTCCATCAGAAACGCCGTCGATGCCTCCGTGAGTGTAAGCCTGTGACCATAAGATGCGTTAGCACCAGGCAATGTGCAGGTTGACCATCACTAGCAAGCTGCGAGGGTGTGAGAAAAGAGGCCTTGGGAAGAACGTACCCGGCCGCGCCGCACGACAACGTCAGGAGAAGCACCTTTACTCCTGGGTCCTTTCTGAACCTTTTGATGACGCCGTCCCGATGCCGCTGTGCCACTTTCCCATCGAAACGCTCGTACCTCATACCAGCTCGCTCGAGGCCGGCCTGGATGAGATCCAAGGTCATGGTCCAGCTGGAAAAAACGACACTGAGATACCACCGAGTCAGCGGACAAATCACATAAATTTGGGACTCCACCAGTCACCAGCTTTAAACCGAGCATTTACCTCTTGCTCTCGGCGGGGAGGGAGAGCAGCTGTGATATCAAGGCGCCGACCTTGCTCGAAAGGTGGCAGTCGGCCATGGCATTGTCCAGCATTCCCGACGGCCCAAAACTGTCCTCCAGGGTCCTCCAGCCCAGAGCCACTCGCGCGATGTCGTGCTCCGGGCTATGCTTGCAGGTGACGGGCTGGCCGCGCGAGCTGGCGTGCCTCGCGCAGTCTCCGCACACAAACGAGAAGCACCGGGCGTACCAGGGCCCGGTGGCAGCGGCGGGACCGCCGTCGCCGTCGTCGAAGGCCGCCGTCGCCAGGCTGGAGGACGCACCGCAAAACGCGCACGCCACAGGGTACATCTCTCGACGGTGGTCGAGCGCGAGCTGTGCAACCGACTTCCAGTCGCCGGTTGAAGCGCCATCCGCGATGTTGTGTCTTGAGCTGTAGTTCAGCCCGAGGTCGCACACCACGCGGAGGGCGTTGATTCTTTGCAGCACCGTGATGTAGGACATGGATGCCGGCCTGCCGTCTCCGCCTTCGTATGCCTCCTCGATCCGGGCCAGGGTCTGCTCCTTGAGGTCGTCGTACAGCTTCCTTTCTTCGGCTGAGAACTCGACGGGGAATTTGAGGTCGGTTCTGTTTGGTAGTTGAATCACGTTTTTGGACCGCCGGAGGACAAGCCCGTTGGTTAGAGTCCTTAGCCTTTTTGCGGCGTCTTCGACATTACCCGACTTCCAGAGTCTCCCAATATCATTGTCAAAGCGACCGGAGTCGTCATACGGGTGTGCCCGAATAAATTTCAGAAGGCTCTCCATATCCCTGATGGAGTTCTGGACTGGGGTTCCTGTGACAGCCCATCTTGATGTTGCCTTGAGAGCGCACACCGCCTTCGACATCCGGGATTTCGCGTTCCGTATCATGTGGGCTGTTCGGGTCAGCTTATTTTGCAGGACTCGGATCAACGGCGGGGTGCTGTGATGTGATCTGTACCTTCGTCAAGGATGATCCGACTCCAGGAAGCCGAGAAGAGGAAGCTCCTATGAGTTGAATTCTTGCTGCCCCAGTCCAGTGCCACGGTGTGGTATGTCGACAGTATGATATGGTGTTTAGCTGCGTCTTCAGCGCTGGTGAGCTTTTGGTCTCCGTAATGGAGACCCCAGGACATTGCACCCGGCTTGACGTGCCTTGTGTTGAGATTCGGGGGTTAATCATCCGAAGTAAGGAGCTGGAGTATGTGGCCAACTCACTCGTTCAGCTGTTCCTGCCATGTGTCTAGCACTTTTTAATAGGTTACAAGGTCAGCAGGGTGGTTGGTATCTAGATAGGGTGAGGCGATGACACATGCCGCTGAACTGCACGCTGCCAAGGGTATCATGGGCTTACAAGGGGGCGGAACAATAATCAAGGTCGGAAGAATCTCCAACTTTGGGGTATCGCTGGTGTCGCGGAACATTTCACTATGATCTGTTGCCGCCAATGCTATCATGGTCAATGTCTTGCCTAGTCCCATGGGATCTGCAACGATGCCGCCACAAAACTCGGGGGGTTCATCGGTATGCCATGCTTGGGATATTCGGTTCACAAAGCTGGAGGGTTGATTGAACGTTAGACAGCCCTAGAGCAAAGCGTGTGCCTTGAAAAATCGGGAGTCAACGAACCAGGTCGCATCACCCGTTTGTGTCAAATCCCAGTAGTCTGCTGACTCCTGTCTGAAGTCCCAGCCAGATTCCCGCTGCAGCAGAAACGTGAGGGCTTGTTTTTGATGCCTAGAAGACGCACGATGAGAAGTTGTGTTAAGTGGGTTCGGATACCACACCAAGGTTCGAGTATTATACAGCTTACAGCTTGAGAGATGTTTTGAGGATGTCCTCAGGAGAATGAGATTCAGGAAGATCCCCGTGGGCGTCCGGAATCAGCTCCGGGGCATTGGAATCGGCGAACAAGATAGCTTCGGCGTTGGCACTCTCCTTTGCTAGGTCAAAAACCATTGGGCAATGGTCTAGCGATGATAGCCGGTGAGGGTTGCAGTACTTCACGTTGCGGTCGCAGTTCTTTGGGTCTTGTAGGTAGATATCTGCATCCTGGAAGAAGACACCGACATCGCGGCTCATGTCCGCAGGACCGTAGATAATTAGTGAGAGAGTGCACTGCTGCACTATTTCGCCAAACTGGGCTCTGTGGCTGCTCTTTGACTGTGGTGTTTCTGAAGGATTGATTGAGCATGAAGCCTGCAGTTCCAGTGCCTGTGCCTCAAGAATTGCCTGAACAATGTCGATATACTCGACGGCAAGCCTGCCATAGTACATAATCTCAGAAGACAGAGATTTGAAGGTGCAATCCTGCTCTATTGTCACGGGGAAGGCGGCCATCGGCCGCAGACGTGTTGGCGGCCCCTTGCAACTACCAGGGAGCGAGATCTGGGAAGAGTGGTGTTTTAGTGCCGTGCTATGGTATTCGTGGCTGCGGGGCGGTCTACTTACCATCCCGTAGCAGGCGGTTGTGTCTGCCGGGCTGTCATCTCCGTGGGAGAGGTCTTGTAGGCCTTCGACACTGCCATGGGCGCTGGTTTGCACGGCCGCTTCGTCAGGATTGAGGAGTGATATGACATTGATCTGGTTGATACTTGGGCAGCCGCCTTGACGGGCACCCGGACACGCGCTATAATCCCCCAGGGAGCCTTCAGTGGCCAAGGGCGCTTGCCAGGTGCTGGTGGCGCCCCATATGGTGTCTGTCAGTTCGCCTCTGCCTCTCCAACCCGATTCGACGCTGGCTTGCACCACCCCTTCCAGAGGGAATGAGATGGAAGACGTGGGTTGTCCATACTCTCGTACTTGCCAGCGCCGGCTTGTGTTGGTATGGGCCAGGGTAGGGAGCACAAAGGCAGTCTGGGGGAAAAACGGGTTGGTCTCGAACGTGGGTGGCGACTCGTTGCATGTAGCTGTCGTTTTTGAATCCGCGAGAAGGTTTCTGTGATAAGGCGCGGCTCTGGCATCCTCGTCCTCGCCATATGAGCATTGTCGCTTCCTTTGCGAGGAAGCCATCAGAAGGGGAACCCGGGCGTCGCTGTATCCTGTGCTGGACAATCTGGCTAGCCCGTCGAAACTCGGCTATGGGGCGTCCCCGATAAATGTCAAGGGGAACAATGGGGGAGGGAAATCAATGGCATTGGGATAGCGGTCTGGGCTGTGCCCGACGTGATACACATGGATTTGCTATTGTGGGGGTGCATGCGCAAGAGGTGGCTGTGTCCCGCGTTGTGGTTGCCTCAATTCCCCCAAGATCAAATAACATGAAGCAGGCGATGAGGCCCGCCCCACCAACTGAGGCAAGGCCAGCCGCTCATTAGCTGGGCACCAGACCCAGCCCAGTAGAGGGAGCCAGCCTGACCTCGATTTGTCCTTTGGAAACAATTCAACATTGTTGTGCCAGGCTTAGCCTTCCTTCTGGCGGCAGCAATCGCGACTCTCCATACAGTCGACACAGTCAAGGCGCTGCCATCAATGCCGCCCTTCACTCTGCGAGCGCGAGAGCCTGGTCAGCTGCAAGCCAGGCTTGATATCCAAGGCGCGTTTGAGGACCTACGCGCACTGGTTTCGCCAGCTCACACATCTGAATTTACCTCGACTGCCCCTGAGGATGTCAGAAGAACAGCGATCGAGGTCGAGCGGGAGCTTGCAGGGCGCCAGCTGCTCCGAAACACGCGGCGCCTGGATGCCTTACTCCGAGGGCTCGATCACTACTCCAGTGTCGTCGGTACCCTTTGCACCGGGACTGATCATCTGCCATGGCTCTGGGCCCCGGTGAAGCTCGTCTTGAAGGTAAGTCGCTCAACCGCCCTCCTAAACGCCCTGACACCTGCTGACAGTGAGACTACCCCCTCTCCACTTGCCTGGAGAACAGACGTCGTCTAGCTGCATCGTGGCATTCGAGAGCCTAATCAAAGTCTACGCGCAAATCGCCGAGCATCTAGGCAGGTTCGAGAAACTGCATCGCTGCTTCAAAGATAACCCGGAGTTCCATCCAACCTTTGCTGCCTTCTATGTGGGCATACTCGCCTTTCATCAACTCGCCTACAAATTTGTGACGCGCCGCTGTGAGTAGCAGCCAGTGCCCCTGGGGTCAGTGGCGTCTTGCCGATCTGGGCTGATACTTTTATACTAGGCTGGAAGGAAAGGTTCGCCACATCGTGGGGCCGATCTCAGCACAGGCTCAGCAATATTCTTGGAATCCTCAAGAGGCATGGAGATATCATCGACGAAGTCGCCGACACGCGCATCACCGAGGCCAGGGATTTGAGGCAGCAGCTGCAGTCCTGGAAAGAAGCCGCCCTTCACAAACTCACGCAAAGCGAGCAAGAGCGGAGCGAGTGTCATTTGGAAAGTATCACATCGTGGCTTGGCATCGACGACATGGACCAAGTCTCCCTTCAAGATTCGCTGGCTGAGGTCGGCTCACAGCACCCAGGAACCGTCGACTGGATCCTGAGGCATCAGGATGTGATCTCCTGGATTCAACCAAACGCCAAGAATCCATTTTTGCTTCTGCAAGGGGGTCCGGGGACTGGCAAGAGCGTCCTCAGTGCCAGAGTCCTGAGGTCACTCCAGGATTCGGGGCGCTCTATCGTGCTCAGCCATTTTTGCTCCTACTCGCCCAGCGCAACTACTCGCTACGATGTTATGGTCAAATCGCTATTGCTAGGTTGCGTGAAAACCGACCATGACCTCGCCACCCATATTTACGACGAACACGTAACTGCCAAGCAAGCGAGCATAAAACTGCTTGAAAATCTGCTAGAGAACGCCGTTGAGATCGTTGGAGACAATAATGTGGTCCATATAATACTCGACGGCATGGATGAGTGTCCTGTGGAGACGCAGCGCAAGATCTTCCGCCTGATTGACAGACTGGCCACAAATGGGGCTGCCTGCAAAGTTCTGGCATCGGGACGAAGCTCCATGGTTACTCTACACGCCAAGCTGCGCAAGGTTGCATCAACACTGTCTCTGTCCGAGGAGAAAGACTGCGTAGGCGAAGCTATCCGATACTTCGTCACGACCGCTTTAAGGAACATGCACAGAAGGCTGTCTGAGATGGGCCTGCCCGATCAGTCGGTACCGGAGCTAGCGTCCAGAATAGTTGCCAAGGCCGACGGTAAGGTACACTGCGTGAAGGAGGATCTGAACGGAGTAGGAATCTAACGGATAAATTCGCGTCTTAGGCATGTTTCTCTGGGCTCGCCTCATTCTCAACTACCTCGACGCCAACCTCTTCTACAACAAAGCCGAGTTTACCCAAGCAATAGAGGCCATTCCGCAAGAACTGTCTCTGCTGCGAGTAAAGTTGTGCCGTTCAAATCCTGACAAAAGCATAGCCACTGACATTTCGCTCTATAGCTACGCAAAGATTCTATCCGACGTTCTTTCTCGCTGCGATCCTCGCTCGGCGCGTCGCCTCAAGGGCATATTCGGATGGATAGCGTTTGCAAGGCGTCCGCTCCAGATCTCGGAGCTACAATCTGCGTTGCTATTCGACACTGCAAACGAAGTTGCTGACCGCCCGGTGCCGAACTATGTGCTCGAGGCGTGCGGGCCTCTTGTAGAGAGGCGTAAGGATTCGACCATACGCTTTATCCACATATCGGTCAAAGAGTATGCTTCGTCTTGTGTCATGCATGCTCTGTTGACGGCCCCAAGTCTTGCTGACGCACAGTTGGAATCTGCCAGATATCTGCAGCGCACCGACTGCGCTGAGGCCGTCCGCCTCTCACATCAGACTTCTCTATGGGATAACGGGCTCTCGTCGTTGAGGTGTCTTCGGAGAGCGTTCGAGGTCTTCGGCCCGTCAACCTCAGAACTGACTAGAAACATCCAGGTTCTCCGAGGAGTGTGGGCATTTTTGCCATACACGAGGGAAACATGGTTCTCAGAGCTGCGTGAAATGGCCACCCTGCCGAAAGAAGAGTGGGACCCCTCGTTTTGGGGTATCGCTCAGCAGCTGTCGCAAGTCTTGGTGGCACCGCGGCCCTGTCATGCCACAGGTCATGCTGCGGCTTCAATCCCGGGGCTCGAAGCTATACGGCCACTTGAGGGTCTTTGGTCCGAGGCTGCAGCCAGCCTAATAGCGGAGTCTAAGGGAAAGATATTGGCAGTTGAGGCCAACGATTCTAGTAAGCCAGGCTTGCGAAGACCACCCAGTCCAACGATACTAAGTGAGAGACGCAACTCTAGATTGCTTCAGACGACCGCAGAGCATCCATGACATTCACGCAAACTACGAGTGGGTGATCCAGCAGTTGATCAGCATCAGCCACCACCCTGACATAAACGCGTCGGAGCTCGAACACTTCCGAGAATACCTGACGAGAGGCGCCTACGCCTGCCGCTTCCCCTTGTGCGACGCCTCCACAAACAAGTTTGGGAGCATCAATGAGCGTGCTGTCCACGAAGCCACACACGCGCCGACTTTTCCATGTCTCGAGCCTGGTTGCCAATATCCTCCATTTACATCTGGGAAGTCGCTGCGCAGGCACCAGTCCGAGGCACACGAATCTGGGCGGCCCAGAACCGTAAATCGAGGCCTGCTGATGAAGCAGGTGCGCTCGATACCTGGGCGGGACCAAGCAAAGGTCAAGTCCGTTCCAAGGAGTCTAGGTGATGCGAATCAGCTACCTTTTCAAGACCTCGAGGTAGATGGGCCTGCACGCAAATATAGCTCGTTGCAACCTCAACTCAATCACCAGATGATGGCGAACTTGGGCGGGGGCGGCGTCATAGCACGCCAACAGCCCCTTGTGCAACAGCAGCAGCACCAAAAGCCCCAGCTGCCGCCTGGACAAACAAAGAGCACCCAGCAGGCATTCATGGACAATATGGATATCCCTCGTACTAGTGTGGCCCAGTTGCTAGGAAGTCCCCTTGGTGTCAACACATGGATTTCCCAACATGGTGTGCCTAAGGAGATTGAGGCAAACCTGGACACCTCCGAACGGCTCAATTTGGGTGGAAGCAGCATCCTCAACAGTCCGAGCGAGACCGCCCCGCCACCATTTGAGAAAGCACTAGCAACATCCCCACGGCTATCGAACTTGGTGGAAAATTTTTATGTAAACCCAAAAATGCTCGCAGCACAGGAAAACCAACAACGACCGCAGGAGCAGGAGCAACTGTCACTACAGAATCAAGAGCAGCAGGCGGTGCCGACTTCAGCGAAGAGGCAAGAGGAATTGCCGCAGCCACTTCTAAAGCAAGAGCATCACCAACGAGAGCAGCCTCCAAGCCAGGTGATGGCCTGCCAAACGCAGGATAAGCGTCCGATGTACCGGCCTGAGCAGATATATATCACGAAAGCTACTAGCCAAGAGGCCCAGAGAGGCTGGGAAGGGTTCATTTCAGCCCTGCGCTGTGACTGGGGCATCTTCGACGTGGCGCCAGAGGGTTCGGACCAGAAGCGGAGTGCACAAGAGCGGATTCTGAATTCCAGTTCCATGCTGCATGCCAGAATGAACTACCGATTTCCTAACCACCAACTAACCCAGGTAGAAGTAGCCCAGGCACGAGCCCAGACACTAGAAGTCCGGACACTAGAAGTCCGGACACGAGATGCTCAAGCGATACATGCATATCAGCAGCCACTGCAGACGGCCAAGGAGATTCCGGGGGTTGACACGAGGCTGGACAGAAAGGACCCCGCCATTCAATCCCAACAGCAGGCACAGGATCAACCTCGGAGCATGTATATTCTCCCACCACCGATGTAAGTATATTGTAGCACATTGTATTTTGGCCATTGTATGGCTTCTCCCTTCCTGTCCTCCATGGCGTTCAATTACCAACCTCGTTTAACTTGGACCAACATTAGAAAGAACGTCCCTTGCCCCAACCCCGGTTGCCCCCAAAAGTTCCACGGTGGGAACGACCTGATTCAGCACATGCAGACTATCCACGACTCGCGAGATCAAGTTTACATGGGGGTTCCATTTTGTTAACCCCCTCCCAAGGGGGGGCACAAAACACTTACTTTCCACTAAACCGTTCTGCCAGTCAACAAAGGATTGTCGGGCATTAAAGCGTCCATGGACGCTTGAGATTGTTGGTATGGAACTGAAATAAGAATATATAGCGCGAAATGACAGAAGATATAGACAGAAAGCAAACCAGAAAGACAACTCTTGCCCTTCCAAGGTCAAGTAGGCCCTCCCTGAGCCTGGGTATTATAATGGGTGGGAGACCGCTCCTCGCGGAATTTCGCCGCCGACGGCGTCGACGGGGCCATGGTGGTAGCCTCGCTCGCCCTCCTCTCGTACGCATCACCGGGCGTCCGTGCCCCCTCGCTTCCCCGGCTGGAGCCCCCGATGCCCCTCTTCAGCCTCTCGATTATGCCCCCTCCACCGTGTCCTTCCTCGGCTGACGAGGCGCGCGCCGTCGTGGCCATGGAGAAGTGGCGAGACCGTCGCCTGCGGGCGAGCATGTCGTTGACATCCTCGTCGGCGTGCGACGCGGCGTCCGGCTCGCGGTCCTCGGGCCTGTCCTCGCCCGGGTCGACGAGGGCGCGGGCGTCGCGCGAGACGCCCAGGAAGACGGGGTAGGCGAGGGTGAGGCAGATCAGGGCCGCGACAACGATGAAGGCCGTCTGGATTCCGGCGCCGGCGCTCAGGATGGCCTGCATGACGAAGGGCCAAAATGCCGGCCCGGACGCGCCCATGGTGAGCCAGGCGGCGGCGAGCTTGGTGCGCCTGCCCTGGCCGCGGAGGCCTAGCGAGAAGATGAGAGGCCAGGCGGGGCCTTCGGCGAGGAAAAAGAGGACGATGGGTGCCACGATGACGTCGGGTGGGTTACCGCGGCGGAGGGCGATGATTGCGACGGTGAGCACGAGCTGCGCCGCCACCGTGACGGCCAGCACGGTCCGCGGCGTCGGGAAGAAGCGGACGGTAGGGTGCCGCGCCGACAGGTACGCGAGCCCACCGGCCGCGAACCGTGACACGGCGAAGGCCGCGTGGGCTACCTCCATGTAGTTGGACACGGATAGCGTCATCATATCGTCTGAAGAAGGATTCTGCGGCTCAATCGTGCTGCTGCCTGACGTGCCCGTTGTGAGTGTAGAGGTAGACGGCGGTGTGGGTGGGGTTGTAACAGTCAAGGCATTTTCTGGTGGCAGCAAAGCTATAACAAGATCTTTGAAATAGATGCTCATGCTCTCCTGAGCGGCCACGTATGTCCACTGCGCGACGACGGCAAGTATGATGCAGATGGTTGCGAGGCGAAGGCCTCCGATGCTTCGCTTCTTGGGGTCCACGGGCAACCGCTCAGCCTCCTGCTCGAGCTCGTCGTCAGTCACTTCGGGGATGGGAATGTAGTAGAATAGTAGCGCGAGTGCGACGCAGAGGAGGGTGACAGAGAGGTAGGTCCACTGCACGTCGATGAGGACTAGGGAGTTGGCCGTGTTCTGCCGCGATGAGACGCTCGAGAAGTAGACGTGTTGGGCCAGCAGACCGCTGAGCACGCTGCCGACGGCCTGCACGCCCTGGGCTAGGCACAAACGCATCTCGGCGTAGGCCGGCGGACCGCACAGGGCGAGGAATGGGTTGGCGGCCGTTTCGAGCACGGCCAGGCCGAAGCCAACGACGAAGTTGCAGATCATGAAGCCCGGGAACGAGGCCAGAACCGCAGCAGGCCAGAACATGATGGTGCCGACGCCGTAGATGCACAGGCCCAGCATGAAGGTGGCCTTGAACCCGCCAATGGACTCGTACGAGGCGTGGTGCCTAGCCGCGCCCTGCCGTGACCGATGGTGTTCATCATGCCGGAGGATCCAAACACCAACAACCAGGGGGCCGAAGAAGTAGCCGCCACCAAAGTATATGCTGGTCAGGCCCAGAGTCATGGCCGTGCTCATGTCTGCTACCGAGGCAGCGACGTTGTTGAGGGTGCCGAGTAGGCCATATGACACTCCCCACATGAGGAAGAGGACCGTGACGAGTGTGCAGTATTTCCACGAGTCCGAAACTGACGCTTGGAGCATGCTTTTTGGCCTTTTAATGTTGACAAAACCAAAGTAGACTGACGTCTCGTAGCCGTTGGCGGACCCGTACGTCGCCAGCGTCCCGCGGCGCCGCTGGACGCGCCTGGTGCTCCCGCTGCTGTCCCGCTCTCCAGACCCAGGACCCGAGGCTCCAATGTGCCCTATGAAGTCCGCGAAGTTAAGTTCCTCGTTTTCGTCATGCGGTTGCTGATGTTGCTGCCCCCCACCTGTCATGTGGGAGTTGTTGTCACTGCCGCTTTGCCGCTGGGGGTCATGAGACGTCCGTGGAACTTGTAGGCCGCCTCCGGCACCAAAATTAGCTTGTCTAGGAGACAAGGCGACGTCCTTATCCTGGCTGCGCTGAGTCGAGCCGGCGGTGCCTTCTGGGTCGACGAGCATGACCGGGAGGATTCTCATGATGAGGGGCTTCAGAGTTGGGATGCATGCGCAGGTGATTCCCACGTTCACCTCAACCGCAGACCACATAAGAGACAGCGAGGCGTTCCAGCTGAACTCGGGGGAGCCGCCGTAGATGGCGTTCTCGTCGGAAGACGGCGTGGTCGGGACATAGCTGATGGCCTGCTGAAGGTAGTAAATCCTGACAACATCGACGACGGTGACAAACACACCAAGGGCGAAGGTCATGACCAGAATGGTCTTTTGGCGGGGAGGTAGCCTCATGCTGGTCAGGACGGGCATAGGGAGGGCCAGGATGGCCACATCGGTGACTATGTTGACCGGGGCAGAGCAGATGAAAACGGTGAGTAGAGGGATGCAGATAGGCTGGAAGGGCACATCGTCATAGGCAGCGTGGATTGGTTTGCACTGGAATATGTTGATGAAGGTGAGAATGACGCCGGCCAAGTTGACGATGGCAAGCACGACGTATGAGGCCAGGCGGAGCAGCGGCTTGGTGTTTTTGGATAGCCTGAGGTAGAAAATGAGGATGGAGGTCTTGGTGGCCATGAGGGCCGGGTTGTAAAGAATGGAGAAGGCATATTCGGCGCGGCGCAGGCTGGGGCGGTCCTCGGCGCGTATGTCCTTATCGTATCGGCCCAGGCCCATGCGTGTGCCCCATATGATTGAAAACGAGAGGGCGAAGGCGAGGAACCAGGCGGCAACGACGAAGCCATCGTCCCAGCTAAAACGGCGCACGATGCCGATGCGACTGACCAGCCTTGCGACAACAAACACGCTGGCCAGACACAGTGTCGCAACGGTAACACCGAAGACGGCAGGGCCGCGGTCCGGGACGCCGTTGACCTTGACTGCGAAGCCTAGGGCCGACATTGCTGTCCGGAGACGCGCCAGGGGCGCACGGGCCGTCGGGCGGGCGAGTAGACTCTGGCTTGTCCACGGTCGGGGAGAGCCCAGGTCATGTATTATTCAAAAGGTGGGTGATGGTCTCGCCGGGGTCCATGATAGCTAGCTCCCAAGGGCCGACGACATTGGGAAGAGAGCGAGTGCGTATGGAGTAGCGTAGCCGCCGGGCGGCCCTCCTGAGGTCGGCGAACAGGCAAGGGCCGGTTAGGCGTCGTCGAGGACAGTGGCGTGCGTGTCGGGGCCGATATCTATCGCTTAATGGGCTCGCGCCTGTCGAAGCGAATCTGCGCCACGGGTGGAAGCAAAATAGGTTCGGGGGTCTAGACCTTGTTTGCTTTACGGCCAAAAAAAAAATGGTGGAGCTCGTTCTTTCGTCGACAGCCCCGTCAGCTGATGGGAGAGTAGCTTGCAGGTCGGAACAATGGCCCAGAGTGGTATTGAATTATACAGGAGTACGTACATGTAGACTGCAGGTGGCGGCCAGGGATGACGTTGGAATCATGTCTCACGGGGATGGGCTCGGATGGGGCGGGTATGGGACGAAAGAATGCCGAATCCCAAGACAAGTGCTAAACCTGTCCGTCCAAGGGACCCCTTCTGCAAGGATGGCAGACGGGCCTTCTGTCTTGTCTGGGTTGACCCCGCTCGTGTTTCTCAGCACCAGCAGCCTTTTGGCGTGCGGAGGGAAGAGCAGGAAAGGCTCTCAGCAGATGGCGAGGGTGGAAGGGGGACCTTTAAAGTTGGACCTTTGGCCGGTTCCGGAGGAGGGGGCAAAGACTAACGGAGCTGGGGGTGGGTTTGAAGAATGCTTGCCCCAGACTCCAGATCTTGACCTAGCAGCGGTTCACGCAGGACAAAAGAGTCCCTGGAACCAAGGGGCAGGGCGAGATGGGAAAAGTCAAGTTAAAGAAGCGGGCATGCAAACAAGTTGACGAGCGGTCTTCAGGTTGGGGGTGGAGGACGCAGGGTTGAGCCCCCTCCCCTCCACTTCCCCGGTTATTTGCTGTGCTATCCGTAGGTGGTGGGCGATATTTTTTTTTTCTCCTTCCTGCGGGATAAACAGCCGCGAGACAGAGACAGGGAGAGGAAAAAAAGCCGTTGTTATGATGCATGGATGGGCGGCTCGAGGGCTTCCTCCGCGGACCCGACTTTGTGGGATCTTGGGTGGGCCAAAAAAACACATAAAAGACTGCAACCCAGACGCGTCGCCAGGCGTGCCGGTAGCAAAAGGGGATCCAGCAGCCCAGCATCAGCCCCGCAGCGCTGTGCCAAGCCCAGGATGTGGTCATGACATAATTGCCCGCTCAATTCTCCGCATTGCTGCCCCCGCCGTGCCCATGCCAATGCCCATGCCAATCCTGGTCCGGGGCAGTCGTCAAAGGTCGTCAAGTCTCAATTGTCGGCACCACTCGGGGGTGGCGCGGTCTAGCGCCAGCCACTCAGCCCACTGAGCCCGGGGGCGCTCCAGCTGGCGTGATATGATTCGCAGCGCGCGAGCGCCCCTCCTCTGGGCGGCCGAGGGCGGCAGCAGCACAGGAGCAAGTTGACTCGACAGCTAGTGCGACTCAAGTGGTGCGCCAGGCCATGTGGGAGTATTGCCCCATTGGCACTCCCTAGAGGCATTTGGGAAAAAATAAGAGAGGGAGGGCTCGGGTCGGTCAGCAGAAAAGGCGGTGATTGTCGGTGAGCGACCATCATGCCTGAGCCTGCACGTGCTGGCGTTGGGTGTGGGTGAGTGAGAGCCCGAGAGTGTGGCAGTGGGTGTGGGTGCGCTGTCGATCGCTGCCAGTGTGCAGTTGTCTGCCTCGCAGGAGGGAGAACGATGCAGCCATGTCGTCCTTCGTGTTGCGGCAGCCAACAATGCGTTGTATGCAGGCGCATGGGCAAGGGTCCTCGGGCGGCGGGCGGCAAGCAATGTGGGCTCAGCAAAGAGGAAAAAAAAAGTTGGTCACGATGGTGGGCGAGTTCCCCCAAGCGCCGTACGGTTCAGTTGGTCTTTGACCAAATATGACGCACAAATCCATTTAATTACGGGCATGCAACCGTCGGATCAACCAGCTCAAACTTTTACCCAAGTGGGCGGGAGGGTCCGAGGACTGCCCCAATTAAAAAACCCTTTGCCCTGCCCACCTATCAACGTGACCCAACAGGGAAACGCCCTTGGGTATTCCAATTGTGAGGATGTGCAAAGTCGGGGAGAAGGCCAGGCCACCATGCGTCCACCCATCACCCAAAGCATCCAGTTTGTCGCGCCACATGGGATCTGGCGCCTTTCGTGTTCCAAAATGCCTACATGGTGCCCGACTGTTGGCGATAAGCTTTTTGCGGCTCTGGCCGTAGCCAGGCCCAGACCGGGGCTCGCGTTTGCCCGTCGGTTCTCTAGAACAGGGAGCCAGAGCCAGGGCTTCTAGTGCAAGTCGTGGCGCGTTTCCACCAAGTTTGCATCACCCGGCCCGCTCGGAGATTTAGTAGCGATGCGCCTCGAAGCTCGGGGCAACCAGGGTGGTTGGGTTGTCGTTCGACATCGCGTGTAGGCAAAAAGGCGTGAGAGCACCAGATACGGCGACCTCGCCAGACAAGTTTTAATCCAATTGATACACGCGTCTTAGACACCGAGCTCAGCCTGCAGACAGGAGGGCTACTGTGCTGCCGACAAGTTCATCCCCACCGTTCCAAGTGGAGCTATTGGATGCCGGCCGCAGTGTGCCAATCTTTCCCCTATGACTGCTGTCTTCATCTACAGCGATGAGACGACTCCGACCCGACCATATCTGCTGGTGCAGCGCGCAGACAGCATGAAAGTGGCGGCGGACAGTGACAGCTCTCAACGGCTCCGAGTCGGATAACTCGTCCCACACTCCAGCATCAATCAGGATTTGATCGGGTCCCAGCTCGGCATCAACCCCTGAACCCCCGTCGATCTTCGCGCCTTGCAAGACCTGGAAGTGATTGGACGACGACGGCGATGAGGGGCCTATGTACGGCCAAAGGTGGTCCGTGAAACGCGATCGGTGCCGACAGAACGCTTTGCCGCGAGTCATGGGCGGCTTGCTCTGCTCAGGCGGAAACACGGATGCACCTGTTTATGTGCGACTTGGGACTGGCTCCTGTAAGCGCGCGCGAAGTGGCGAGGGCAAACATTGGCAACAACAGAGGTTCTCTCGCGCCTTGAGCTCATGTTACGCGAGCATATAACGCGACTTCAGTTGATTGTGTGTTTCTTACTCGTCGTCATCCACGCTTCGGGATGTAAAAGTGCAAAGTTTGGGCCACAGGGCTAGAGGGAGCGGCGATAATCGACCGCAACGACCATCGTATCTATCGAGGTCGCCAGCCGCTTCCCCTTTCGGGAACATCTCCCGATACTGAAAAAGAGCCCTTTCGGGAATGCCTTCCTGATACCCAAGAAGTGTCGGCTCAAAGTATCGTGACTACGAAACCTGGTAGCAGCGGAGTTGTAGCCCGGCCTTGTTGAGCCAGAAACCCAGAAACCACTAACGAGGAGGCAAGATCGCAGAAGTTCACGGGGCCATGCGTGTAAAGCTCGGCCCGAGGTATTAGAGGGCACCAGCGGCTGTTTGATTTTCTCTATGCCATATTCGCACATCCGGTCTACAGGCCAAGCCTGAAGGCGCAAAATACACATTACAGCTCGTCCTTCTCCTCGGGCACCTCATCCCCGTCGCGCGAGTACACCCTCCGCCCGCCGACCCATGTCTCCCTGACCTTGAGCGTCCGCAGCTCGTCGATGCCGTAACTTTCCAGCGGCTTGTCCAGCACGACCCAGTCGGCAAGCGCTCCCTTTTGGATGACGCCGGCCCTGCCTTCGAGGAACGCGCCGTACGCCGGCCCGGTCGTGAAGCCAGCCAGCGCCTGGTCCGGCGTGAGCGCCTCCTCGGGGTACCAGGGGTTTTCGCTGCCGTCGGCGCCACGCCCAGTGTGCGGGCTGCGCCTCGCCACGGCCGCGTAGATGCCCTGGAACGGGTCCGCCGGCTCGACGGGGAAGTCGCTGCCCAGGATGATGGGCCCGATGGCGAGGAACGAGCTCATGCGGTAGGCCGAGTGCTCCGTGCGCTCCTCGCCCAGGCGGAGCTTGGCGTACTTCATGTCCGAGGTGGCGTGCGTCGGCTGGACCGAGGGGATGATGCCCAGCCGGCGCATGCGCCACTGGTCGTCCGGGTGCACGATCTGGGCGTGCTCGATCCGGTATCTGCGGTGGGACTGCTCGCCCCGCAGGCGCCGCGCCGTGCTGGCCGCGTTGACGGGGGCCGTGGCGCCCAGGGCTCCGAAAAGGGCGTCGATGGCGACGCGGTTTGCCAGATCGCCGATGGCGTGGATGTTGACCTGCCAGCCGGCGACGGCCCACTCGCGCGCAACGCGCTCCAGGGTCGACGCGTTCACCAAGAGGGACCCCGACGCGTCGGGACGGTCGCTGTACGGCTCCAGCATGGCGCTGCCCCAGCTACCCAAGGCGCCGTCAGCGAAGAGCTTGACGCTGCGGATGGTCAGCATGTCGCCGCCGCCGGCGTCGGGCGTGCGGCGCGCTGCGGCGGCCGCGTCGAGGCAGACGGTGTTGCGCTCCTCGCACTCGAGCATGGCGTAAACGCGTAGCGTCCACCCCTGCGCGTCGGCATCCTCGGCCATGCCTCGGAACAGGGCCAGGTCCGTAGGAGTGGCACCGGCGTCGTGCATGCCGACGATCCCCACGGCGTGCAGGCTTTGCATGGCGGAACGGATGAACCGGCGGCGCGCATCGGGGCCCGGACGCGGCCACAGCGGAGTCACCAGGTCGATGGCGTTGTCGCAGAAGACGCCCGGGCCCGGGTCCTTGACAATCTCGCCTCCAGGGACCTCGGTGGGCGTGTTGGCGGGCAACAGGTCGAGCACAGCTCGCGAGACCCAGGTGCAGTGCACGTCGACGCGATCCACCATTATGAAAACCCCCTTGAGCTTTTCTGCCTGGTCGAAGAATTCCTATTTTGTGAAGTTGTATGAGCTCCCATACGAGCAACCTGGCCACAGTGATGATCAAGGACTCACCGCCGCGGGCATGCCTCCAAGCGCCATCTGGTCCCAACCGACGCCCCTGATCCACGAGGTCGAGCTTCCAGCTCCCGGGTTGGCATCGATGTAGGTCAAAATCCTGCGGTTGACCTCGTCAAAGGACTCGGCCCCGAAGAGGTCCACGGAATGCAGGAACTCTCCATACCCCAAGAGGTGGCCGTGACCGTCCCACAGTCCTGGGATCGCGTGGCCTGGTAGAAGACGTGCGGCTTTGACAGTGTCAGAGTCCGGCGTGACCTCAGTGAAGAGACCGTCCTTCACCTGAAAGCACTGGGCAAAGTGCACTTCCTGAGAGCCGGTCCTGATGCCATCCTGGTAGCAGAAGGTCTCGGGCACCTGGCCGAGTAGAATCGCTCCGAAGAAGTAGTAGAGGGCGGTCAGGACAGCGACGATGCCGGTCAGCACGAGACCGCCCCTGGCAGTCAGCGACGTGCTCGACATTGAATTGCTCGGCAAATCAGATGGCGTTGTTCTGGTTCTCAGCGAAGATCGCTTGGGCGTTGATTGAAGGTCATGGCAAGAATTGAAATTCAGACGACATTGGATTTTGGCCCGTGGTATCTGACCCGTCGCACCCCTGAACCACGCCCCTCAGATAAGAAACATGAGTCGATTTCCAAGAGCAGGGCCTTGCAATTCGCTTGTCCCCAAGCTTTCACTGCGTCCTCCACTTCATTCGGATCTGACAGCCGACTCAATTGGCAGCAGGATTTCGATGGGCGGAATATCTTCCAGTTTCCAACATGGGCCTCATGCTTCCGCAAGGCTGTCGGGCCAAGTGCCATAGGCTTATTGGATCCTGCCATTTTGAGCCCAACAACCCCCGCCGCCATTCCCGCCCAATGCCAGAACATGAAAGACAGGCCTCCATGAGGAGAACAGGATCTGGGCTCTGCTACCACCAGGTCTGAGCTGCATGAGGCGGCAGGAAACGCAGGCTCTCATTCGTAGGTAGCCAGCAACCCTTTCGGGAATCATGCGATCCTATCAGAACGGCCCTCTAAGCCGGCCCCCGCTACCAAGGCAAACTCAACGGCGGCGGCATGGTTCGCATTCTCGAAAACCGCTGAACCCCGAGAAGCCCAGGTGAGGGAGGGTGTAGGGTAAATTGTGAAGAATATCCCCTCAGCTGTCTGGCAATTAATTGATCAACTACTACGAGTCTCTTCCTCCATCCTTTTCTTTCCATCCCGTGTGCCTGGCATGTGAAGCGACATGTCAATCGGCAAGCTTCAGGCCGCGCTGGCATCGGCCACCAACGAGGTGACGGTCGCAGCAGCAAATATCAACTTTGACTTTGCGCTCGTCAAGTGCGAGGCGCCACCCGAATACCAGCCGCTGGGTCTGCAGCTGTCGGCCAAGCGGAAAGACGAGGCTGAGAACGGCTCGCAACATGTGACTGCTAGGAGACTGGGCGCTCTTTTCGACGGCCAAGGCCCCAAGGCCCCAAGGCTGATCGCTGCGTTTGGCAAGCGGGCTTCCGATATTTCAAAAGATGCCAACGTCAAGTTCAAGCCACAATATGCCGCCAACTGGATCTTCTCCGACTACACCGGCGTCGACGCCACCTCCTTGTGGGCCGCGGCCACGTCCAGCAAAGCAGCGATACCCGTCTACCTGCTGGCCTGCATGCTGGCCCGTGTCTGGAGCGACGCCGAAGCCACTTCTCTCTGGGTCGAGATCGTCGCTGGGAGGCGTCGGGAGATCGCAACTCGCTTCGAGGCCGGCGAGGCCTTGCCGTTTGCGACAACCACGGCGGCCGCGCAGCAGGAGCTCACCCGTGATCAGCTCGCCAAATGGGACGCCAGTGCTCGGGCTTGGTTGCGGACTGCCGACGACATGTGGCCAAAGCAGCGCCGGCAGTTCTTGCTCGTCGCGGACAATATCGAAATCGCCGTCAACAACATCAGTCAACCTTACCACAGCATCATCGAAGCTTGGGTCTCTGCTATGGGAACGATGGACAAGCTCATTGGAGGGGAGCCGCACGCTATCAAAGATGGATCGGTCCTCCTCGGCATCTCATCATGGCACATATACCCAAACATGACCGTATTGGGCACCGCTGCCTTGAAATCCGTTGACATGGCAGACTCGCTGGTTCACCCAGGTGGTATCATCACTCTTGGCATGAAAGATCCTACAGATAGGGCCGCCCGTGGTGCTTTTTGGTCACTGTCCCTCGCGCATCACAGGTACTACGGCAAGCCGGTCCAGAAGATGGTGGAGCTAAATCGTGATGGAAGTCGCCTTACGTTCAAAGAGCTACAAATCGCCCTTCTCGGGATGATCCTGTCTCGGTGGAATGTGCCAGTCTCGCAAACTGACCGGGCACTGAGGTTTCTCCTCAAGATCGCGTCAGCGCTTCCCTCCAACCCAGACACGAGAGCGGATGGATGGATCGGCATGCTGGTTTCGCCTATCATGGAATATCTCCAAGGAGATGATCTCGCAGCGGAGTTGGTTTCTCTGGGCAGGCGCCGGCCGAACTTCATTCCGACCGACGTGAACAGGCCTCCAGACCTGCCGTTCTTCGGCTTGTTGCAGATCAACACAGTCTTACGACTGGTCCCATCCTACCATGACCGCACCAATCTCATGCTACGGCTTGCACTTCGAGCTGCCGGGCTGCGGGATCGGAGATTCGCCATCGCTTTCGTGGCACATGGTCAGCGCAAAGCTTGTTGCGTTGACCCGGTCTCAGGAAACAACGCCGATGAAATGACCCTACTCAACCTCCAAGTTCTGGAATGGGAAGGTTGGGCCTCTTTTCAGGCCATTGACGGCACGGTATATGGATTCCACTTTGGAGACCCAGACTATGCCGCCATATTTGTCGAAAGCAGTACGCTGGAGGCGCACACACAACCTCCTTGTATCGAAAACGAGGACATCGTATGGGCGATCCGGCGCGACATGATGGACCTCGTTGGGCTCAAGAAACTACTCACGAGACGCCAGCTCCAAGATGCGGACAAAATCATGATAGCGCTGTGCAAGCTCGGATATGCATCGAGGGTATACCAAAACCTTAGTCGGCAGGGCGCCTCGATCTCTCCAAAAGCGCTGCATGCCACCTTTGGGGTCATGTGGTATTTACCCGATGATCCCCAAGGCGAGACCTTAATGGGCTACATTGACAGGTTACATGAAGCTGGGCCCACATTGGCCATGAGGTTCATATCTTTTTTTGAAACCGGCATACTACTCCCCGACACCTTTTCACAGGCGGCCGGAGCCATCGGCATCGCGGTTGGGGACTCGATATATGTGCCGACAAGAGTATGCCTAGCTCCTCATTCCAAGCTCGTCTGGATCTCCAACAATGCATTTGCTTGCTAACTTGGGGTTTGTCTGGGAAGCTGCTATCAGACCCCGCGGTACATACCGACCAGCCCTATAAATTCAGCAGGCTGCTTGGGAACATTGGGCGGCCCGGGTTATCAATACTCACGACTCCTGCAACCGCAGACCTGCAGGCTCGAGACTCCGATCTAGGGTTGTGGCAAAAGGCCCCACCTCGGTTCAACGGCGAGCGCGAGGACGCCTTCTCGAGAACTTCGATGCACATCGGCTTCACCGACTGGCAGGCGCCACTGTTTCACACGGAATCGGTCGGGCAACACAGCTCGGAGATCAGCCATGTCGAGGTCGTCGTGTCGGTCCGCGATTCTGGGGAGTGGGTTGCTGATGTGAACCCTTTGTTGGCGCTGGGCCACTTCGGGTTGCAGCAGCTCCCGTGGAAAACTGTCTGAGGCAGAGCCGTGCACAACTACCTACAGGAGCTGCACGGGGATGGAGAGAAGCACCAGAACTCTGCTGGGCGGGAGGCTCCCGGTGGGGATGAGACGGGCGGGGAAGCCACGGCCCTTTCGGTGTTTGACTGCGACGAAATGGTGGCATTAGAGTCGTGGGACTAGATCTTGGACCTCCCCGAAGGCGTCCTGGTGATCAAGTCTTATGGGAATTGGATATCGCGCCTCGCCATCATGTCGGTCGTCTCCTACTACTGTAAACTGAAGGCGACCCGCGTTTACATTTGCCCTGAAGATGTGTGTTGGGAGTGTGTGAGTCGAGATACACCCCACTCGGTTTACATATACTAGCAGGACGGTGTTGGCGCCTCACGGGTGTATATTCCAGGTGGAGTTTGGAGATTTGAACTTGGTGCATATGAGAATACATAATAAGTTACTTCGAGCTCAGAAATGCGATGTCGGTTCGGCTGAGTCTACTAGAAGGCACCCACCGTTCCCGGCGATGTTGTCGCGGACTGCTCCCGAGGCTTCCGAGCAAAACAAAGCACGCATTCGATGTTGGACCGGGCTCGCGTCTTTTGGCGCGATTCACGACAACCTGGCCTATCAAAGCCCCTGGCGGACCCCTACTGGCACTATCAGCGGCGCTCCGACCAGGGGCTAACATCTCCACATCGGAGCCTGGCGAGATTCCGCTGGCGTTCCTGAAGGAGATTACCAATCAAATCCGACGTTCTTTAAAACACCAGATGGCAGTCTCTCGATCCCTGGATCCATCCCACCTCCCATCTCATCATCGCCTGGGACTAGCGGGCAAGAATAAGCGCGTATAATGCATACCTGCCCGTGGCGCTTGTTACAGCAGCACCTTCGCTGGTTGGCGGCATCGAACCAATAGATCCTGTGGCGCGCACACAGCGGCAACTATTTGCAGGTGCACGACCAGCCCGGATTTTCGAGGAAGGTTCGGGTTTGCTCGGCACTTTATGACAAGAAGAGACAAAAGCGAAGGAGCTGGATCCAACCACAATGGCCAACGGGACCGGTCGTTATGGGTCATTGACCGGGGAGCGCGCGGATGCGGATGACGGGAGCCTGAGCCTCTCAGGGACCACGACGGCGGGCGAGGTCACACCGCTGCTGCAGTCAGACGCCGGGAGCACGGCGACTATTCTTCGGGACGAGACGATCCGCGACCCTGAGGCCGTCTCCGATGACGATTCCGAGGATGGCGTGCCCGCAATTGGGAGAGGGAGGGCGTTTGCGCTCATCATGAGCATGTGGGCGCTGATCTTCCTGCAAGGTGGGCATGCAACACCCTATTCGGTATGGCGATGGACCTAGTGTCACCATGGCTGACCGACTGGGTTATTGGGACCAATAAAAACAGCAAGCAACATGAGCGGCATGACCATGACGCAGTCTGCCGTAGCGGCCGATCTGGACGCGTACGAGGGCGCCATGTGGTTCACGAGCTCGTACCTGATCGCGACGTCGTCGCTGGCGCCGATCGTGGGGAAGCTGGCGACCATCTTCAGCCCGGCGTCCCTGGTGGCCGCCTCGGCCCTCTTCTTCGCCGTCGGCGCCGTCGCCACGTCCCAGGCCACCACCTTTGGCACCTTCATCGCGGCCAGGTGCCTGGTCGGCGCGGGCGGCGCGGGCATCATGACCCTGGCCCTCGTGCTGATCATCCAGTACGTGAGCAAGAAGCGGAGCGGGCTGTTCATCGGCCTGGTCAATGCCGGCTTCACCGTAGGGTTGTCGACCGGGGCTATTGTTTACGGCGCGCTGCTCGAAGCGGTCGGATGGGTATGGAATTCACCCCTGTTGCGATGCCGATTGTGCCGTATTGACGAGGATGCTGACGATGAGGTTGCTTTCAGCGAGCCTTGTTCTACCTCCAGACCCCTCTCGCCCTTCTTGGTGGGATAGGTGTGTGGTTTAGTCTGCCCAGGGTAGAAAAGGGCAAGAACGCGATTGTAGATGAGAGGACGACCTGGCAAAAGCTGGCGGGCATCGACTATGCCGGCGCTGCCACACTGGTAAGCTGACTCTGCGTATGGTTTGACTTACCTTAGCTGCGCTGGTTGCTAACATAGTCTCGTCTGTCAAACAAGACTGTGGCGATAGTCCTTTTCCTTTATGGACTTTCGGGCGCCATCCAGCCCCTCTACATCGCCATTTCGGTCGCTGTGCTGGCTGTCTTTCTGGCCATCGAGTACCGCTTCGCAGCAGACCCCATAATCCCCATCTCTGTGCTCCGGAGCCGGGGCGTGCTGCTCTCGTGTGTCGCGCAGCTGGGGTTCCTGGCCTCGCGCTGGACCGTTTTGTTCTACGCCCCAATCTTCGTCCTCGCGGTCCGCGGTCTCCCGCCCGCCGTGGCCGGCGCCGTCCTGATCCCGACCAACCTCGGCTTCGGCTCGGGCGGCCTGCTGGTCGGCTGGCTGCACGTGCGGCGCGGCGGCTCCTTCTGGCTGCCGTGCCTGGTGTCGCTCGCCCTGTTCGGCGTCACGCTGCTGGCCACGGGCCTCGTCAGCAACTCGGGGTCGCAGCCGTGGCTGTACGTGCTCGTCGTCTTCGCAAACGGCCTCTGCACGGGCGCGGCGCTCAACTACACGCTCGCGCACCTGCTGCACCACGCGCACCCGCGCACGCGCTTCGTGGCCGCCAGCCTGTTCAACACGTTCCGCGGCTTCGCGGGGAGCTTCGGGACCACCATCGGCGGCGGCACCTTTGGCCGGGCCCTGCGCGCCCGCCTGGCCGAGGGCTTCTCGCGGCTGGACCGTGGCCTGGGGTCCGGGCGCGAGAAGCTGATCGAGAAGCTGATCGGCAGCCCCGCGCTGGTGTTTGAGGGTGGGCTCAGCGACGCCGAGAGGGCGGTGGCGGTGCAGGGCTACGAGGCGGCGCTCAAGACGCTCTACACGCTCGCCGCCGCGCTCACCATCTTCGTGATCGTCGTGCAGGCAGGCACGGGATGGGAGGCTCCTGTCAAGGCGAAGGAGGACGACGAAGTCCCAAGCCAGGCATGAGTCGGCATTAAGTGCGGTTGTAAAGCATGGATACTGTGCCGTTTGGAGCTCCAAACATATATCAAGGCTGGCAAAGGTTTATAGATTGGTTTTTAGAATAGGATGCTTCTTAAACTATACGATACAAATCGAACCCGTAATCACCACCCCTGCTTCAAGTCAAGATTCCCTGGCTCGATATTGTTTTATTGGAAGATGCTTGGGCTGTATCATGACGTATAGAGATATATTGGTACTGTGTCCACGAATGCTAACACTGTGTCTAGGCGTTGTGCGCGCTAGAACAACCACTTTGCCCGCTGGAATCGGCGACTCAAGCCCAGGACAACACAAGAAAATCAACGACAGGAGCATTTGCGAGGCCAGGCAGCAGCGCCATGTACTTTGTCCTCATGTAAATCCAGGACTTGCCGAAAGCCCTCCCGGGTTCCTATGGCACCTCCTTCTGTCAGTAAAGAGCCGCACGATTGAGCCCAATGGTTTCACTGTCGCTAACACACACCTAGACGCCAGCGCCCTCCCGCTTCCTCCTCCCGAGGCGCCAGGGGCAGGGGCAGGGCGGAACGCCCGGAACAGGCGTCAACCCCGGCGCGTCCCAATTTGGCGCCACCCCGCGCTTCGCCGTCTCGTCGGCCGCGGCACCGGCGGCGACGCCCTCGTCGTCTAGGAACCCACCGCAGTTCTTTACGCCGGCCGCGCCGCCGTCGTCCAGGCGACAGCCGCTGCACGAGCTGATAGACAGCTCGCCCGCCTCGCCGCAAGACGATGAGGCGGGGGAAGCTGATCGTCGGGAGCACTCCGACAGGTTCGCCAGCAGGACTTCTAACAGGCGATCTGCCGCCGCCCATCTCATCGTCGAGGATTTTGACGATGAGGAGTCCCACTCGGAGCAGGGTGGAGGGCGAGAGGATGACCGATATTCCTCGCAGCTTGACAGCAGCAGCGATGACGACGGCATATTCAGGCCGCCGCCCAAGCGCAGGCGCATCACCGTCTCGGCAGAGTCACCGCCGCTGTCTGTGCGTGTCAAGGTGGAGGAGGATGATATCATGGCCACCTCGGACCTATCGGGCGTGATGGACAGTGCCTCGGATCACCATGAGCCTTCAGATTCCTACCCCCATGACGGCGTTGTCCATGACGGGATCGATCACATCATGCACAGTCCGCCAGATCCGGACGGGGAAAGTGACTATCGCAGTGAGCAGGAGGACGACAAAGCTTTAGTCGCAGATCAAGACGAGGATGACTCCGACCTAGACCTTTTCCAACGCGAAAGACAGCAGCGAGTCCCCACCACGCCATCGAAGAAAAAGGACCCCACATTCCACCGAGCCCCGCGGTTCGTAGCCGCCGAGCAACCGGTGGACGGCGGTCCAGGGAGGCCACAGCTGCAGGTGCCGGCAGACGCCTTCTCGCCGAAGCGGCGGCGCGGCGGCGCTAGAGGCGCTGAGTATGTGCCGGGCGGCCTCGCGGCCGAGGTGCGCGGCTGGCTGCTCCAGGTCGCGCCGCGCGTGGGGGAAGATGGTCCCGGAGCGGCCGCCCCTGTGGCCATCGCGTCTGTGCCTGGGACGGTTCATGTCGCCATTGTCGAGGCCACCGGCTCGCGGGGGATGTGGATGCTGCGCGCCCGTCGGGCGCTTGGTGACGGTGGCTACGGGGGCGGAGACGAAGGAGATGGCGCCGATGGGCTCGTCAAGATTATGCTGTCTGGGGACGGGCGCACGTCGGGCCTTGATGCGAGAAACGGGGTTGCCAGGGGCGCAATCGTGGCCGCACACCCGCCAACCTGGGAAGTCGAAATCCAGGGGCAGGGGATATGGACGATGGTCTGCGATTGGAGTATCGTCGACAGTCCAGGGTGAGACGTGGTTTCGCTTTCAACATTGTCTATGGCGATGTATCTAGACAAAAGCTGCGATGTAGCTGCCTTGGATGTCAGCCTAGGAATCTGATGCTTTCAAACCGGTCAGGGAACTGTCTAGGGTTGTTTTGGAATCACTTTCTACTCGAGTCTTGTGCCGCCTAGTATCTGATATGTGGATATCACAGCTCCGTGCCTGTTGATTGCGAATGGCACTGTGAAAGAACCAGACTCCAACCCTAACCCAGCGGGAAAATCGCGTTGTTTGGAACCCCAAGCTTAGGCGTGGTGGCACACATCTCACTAAGAAAGCTCTCCGACAAGGAGATTACCAGCACGGCCCAATTTCCCTCTTTCGCGGCATGAAATAGCCTCGCCGTGCTCTGGGCGGTAGAGTATCCTGCTTTCGAGGACCTGCTCGTCCTCGAGAGCTCAGCCGCCACCCAAAATGGGCGCCGTCTCGCTCTCAGCGAGCAGCAGCCTCCTTCGATGCGCCAGGAGAAGGGGGCTGCTTGCCGCCTCGCTCGTGTCCCCCCGCCGGCACGCGCGACTCTTCTCCAGGTCTGCGGCCCTCGGGGCCTCGGACCCCCTGAGGATCCTGTTCTTCAGCACCGGCGACGGGCTGTTCAGCAACCCGTCGCTCCAGCTGCTCCACACGGAGATGATGCAGAACCCATCCCTCATCTCGGCCATCGACGTCGTCACGAGCCCTCCGAAGCGAGTCGGGAGGGGCCACAGGGAGCTGCGGAGATGTATGTTCGGCAAAGGACGGCCATCCCTCGTCTTATGTCGGGAACCCTCCACCTTCTGTTCTTGTTGCTGACGCGTGTTTGCGCGAACAAGCCGGGCCGGATTTGGAGTCCGAGAAGCTGGAGCTGCCGGTGCACCTGATCGGGGGCTTTGAAGATGATCCAGGGGCCCGTAATCGTGCCGCCATGGATGAAAAACCCAGCCAAGACGGCCTTTTCAGGTCTACCAAGCAAGCTGGATTCAAACCCGGAGATGTCTTTAGGAGGGTGCCGCTCCAGAACTTGGGCCTGGATGACGCACCGAAGTTGACTGTAAGTGACAAGAATGGCTCTCTCGTACCAAAGGCTGCCCAGCCCGGGAGTGCTCAACGGCCGAAGCTGAACAAAACAGCTTTCCCTACTCGAGGAACGACAAATCAACCTGCTCATCGCTGTCTCGTACGGCCGCTTCATACCGGCACATTTCATCAGGGCCGCCAAGCATGGCGGGCTCAACCTCCACCCGTCTCTGCTACCTCGGTGAGTTTAAACAGACCCCCTCTGCCACAAGCCTCATTCACTATTTTCCTGGATTTTGCTAGAACCAGGAAGCTGACACACACAAAAAGCCTCCGTGGCGCCGCGCCCATCCAGTGGGCCATCGCCCGCGACCACCAGTTCACGGGCGTGTCTCTGCAGACTCTGGACGAGCGCGAGTTCGACCGCGGCCTCGTCCTGGCCCAGACTCCCGAGGTGGCCCTCAACCAGCGCGAGACGACACCGACGCTCCAGAAGAAGCTCAGCGGCCTAGCCGCGGCCCTGCTCGTCGAGGGCCTCCGCGCCGGTCTGCACGACGAGGCGACCCGCCGCAGCCTGGACGGCTCCCTGCCCCTGACCATCCCATTGGCACAGGGTCCTCTCGGGGCGACAACCCCGCGAGAGGGGCAAGGGGACGAAGCACCAAGCGAGCCAACGTTGGCGGCAGCAGCGGCGGCGGCGGCGAAGCTCAGGATTGAGAGGGCCGCCTCGTTCGCGCCCAAGATCGGGCCCCAGACGCTCGAGATGCGCTGGGACAAGCTCGCCAGGGGCGCCTGGCAGCCCGAGGACCCGTCCCGGCGCTCGCGCGCCTTCGGGTCCCTCCGCACGCGCTTCCTGGTCAGTGCCAAGAGGGTGCCCGAGAGGGCGCACACGGCGCTGCAGCCGACGGCCGCCCAGAGGCGGCAGCAGAAGGAGATGGAGGAGGAGCAAGGGCAGAACCCGCCGCCGCAGCAGCAGCAGCACGACCTCAAGTTCGAGACGGTCCAGGTCCAGGTCCTCGACACGTCCCCCGTGGCGCTCGAGTGGCTGCCGCAGGCCATCAGCTCGCGCATCCTGGAGCTGAGCGGCGAAGAGGACCCGGAGGAGTTGCTGCGGGGTACGCCGTTCGGCCCCCCGCTACCCGAGCCCGACCCCGACGCGGCGGCGGCGGCGGGCGGCGACGGGAACGACGAGCACTATAAGAAGAATAAGAAGAAGAAGGAGGAGAGGAGGAAGAAGAATGAGAAGAAGAACCGACTGATAAATGAGGGCAAGAGCACGATCCTGACGCGCGGGTCGCGGCTGGCGCGGGCCAACGTGCGCGTCGTCGTCGCCGAGGTCGTCGTGGACAAGGCGACGGGGCGGACCGAGAGGGTCGGCCTGCTTTGCCTCCCGGACGCGGACGGCAGGGGGGCGTTGATCGTGCTGCACGAGCTGCTGGTCCCGCACATGCGGGAGCTGCTCGGACAGGGGGGCGGCGAGCTCGCGCCGGCTCCGGACGGCCACGAGTCCTACAGCAACGTGTGCGTGAGGGTGAACAAGATGCATATTGCGGGCCATAATCCGGTACCAGCATGGTCTGTGATAAAGCAATGCGGCTTCGTCAGGCCCCCCTCCCCCACGAGCAGCGAAATGTAGTCCTTGGCACCCACGTCTTTAATATCACCCATGCAAATTTCACTCTCGTAGAAGTCATGTAATAGTGTTACAATTGATGGTGCCCGTGACACCACAGTCGTATCTTTCAGTGCACAGCACCGTACTGTGCACTCGCTAGAAAAGCTAGTATGGTTTGTGTGAAGTGGTGCCTCGTCTCGCCAGCGTGGCCACCTTCAACTTCGTTGCCTCGCGCGAGGTCTTTGTTGTCCGCAATCCTCCAAGTTCCTTTCCGGTCATAATCATCACAAAGCCACAGAAAACGCGTACAGGTAAATTTCACAAACGCCACATACGTCTCAACCGGACGTTAATACGAGGATCAGGTGCGAGATTTCTTACTGCCCAGCGAGCGACGGCATTGATTCTCGAGGGAGTGAATCGCAGCCGGCCTTCGTGCGGCAGACAGCCAGGTCAAAGGAGGACTCTGGTCAATCGAGCCCTCGCAGTACGCCCGAGCGGGTTGGCACAGTGTGTGCAGCTTAGACGCCCTTTCCGAGCTTGTCCTCGTCGGCGATGCTGCCGTTGCTGGACGAGGTGTCCGTCTTGGTCAGCGTGTCGTCGTCCTCGGCCTCGGGGCCGTGGAGACTCTCCTCGAAGACGGGCTCCTGCTCATTCACGTCGAATTTGGTCTTGAAGTCGTGCAGGCCGCTGGTGTAGCTGCTGCTGTTGGATCGGCGACGGGCGTTGGCAAAGTTGAAATTCTCGTCCATGATGTCGTCACCAGTGGTGCCCCTGTTGGGTTGGTTAGAACATCATTGTCAGCTCGTTGTTTCCTTGCGGGCCGAACGTAACTTAAATCCTGATTGATACGGCTTTGTACGATAATAAAAGCGGGCGGGCGGGCAGGTGCAGATGGGGTGCATGGAGTGGTGCGAAAGTGGAAACAGGCAAGCCTGAGTGGTCCCACCGGAGGGCGCCGCTGTGTAAGTGGCCAAGCGCTGGGTCGATTGAGGGTTGGAAGGGGAGCAAGAGCGAGAGTCACATCCATCATGAATTCCAAACGTACCAATTGGCCTTGCCGCCGCCGTTCTTCTTGATCTTCTTGGGTTCGGCATCAGTGAAGCCATGCTTGGCAAAGTATTTGGGGACGTGCTCCTCTGGCAGGGCAGTGCCGTTTGCCAGAGCGGCGTGGTTGCGATCGTTGGCCTTGTGCGAGCGAGTCACTGTTGAAGCCGGTAGGGCCGTGCCGTCAGCATCGATATCGATCCAGGCTGGCGTACTCTGGGAATTGGTCGATTCTCTACTCCCCACGGGCTCAAGAGGAGCCACTCATGCAGCCAACGACTAGCCGCTCGATCCAAGGAGACGAATGCACTTACTGTTGACGGATTGCTTGGATGTTTGTGATTAGGAGATGGATGGGAAGTGATGCGTATTAGACGCTCAATGGATTTCGACTCTCGTGATATCCGAAGCTGGGACAGACGGGGCCCCTGGGTATTTTAGGTTCATGTTAGCGCGGCTGCTCGAAAGTGCGGGGTCGGGTGCGGTTTGAGATGAACAAGCAAATAAGCAAACCACGCAGTTGACCTGCCCAGGAGCTAAGGTTGGGGAACAAGTGCGATTGGGAAAGCCTGCTTGGACGGGTTCGGCTTGATGCCCGCGCTGCTTGAACAAAGACCCGAGAAACATTAACTTGGGAATTCGTGCTCACGGTGATCAATGGGCCGCAGAATAGGACCAAAGCGGCTACGCTATCGATAAGATGATATGTCGCCGAGTTGGAAACGCAGAGAGGAGCCTTGGGCGGATGGATGGATAGATGGATGGGAGAGAGGGCGATTTATGATTGACGTTAGGTAACGTAGGAAGAGAAGATGGTGGGTGGGAAGGATGTGGTGGAGGGCGGGATTGCGTTTCTTGTATGCTACCTGCGCCTTGATATGAGGGGAACCCAGTGCAGGAGGCCGGGCAGGAGGTCGTGTGATGTACAGTGATGCAGACTGTGAAGAGATGATGGTATGGTGATGGAGGAAGACCAGACGGCTCTCCCGACGGGAATGCTTGGGGGCAGCTCCTGCCCTTTTAAAAATACGAGGCGCACGAAGCTTCCAAGACAGGCCCAATGGGATCGGCGGATTCCAGACAGATAACCCGGCATTAGGCGAGCTCTGCTGCAAGACGCGATCCATTTTGCCATTTCCTGCGTGCCTGCTACGAGCTGCCCATGCAAGCCAATGCCAACCTTGGCCCTCGCCAGTGGCCCCAGTCCCGGCCAGGGGCATGCGGGTTGGTGGTGCAAGAGGCAGAGACAAAGGCGGCCGTCAACGGTAGTCGCGTGACTTGATGCAACTGATGGACTGACTCCCAGAAGAATCGGGTGGGGCCATGGCGTGCCGAGCGCCCGCAGTGGGCGTCGGGGGCCTGCGTACAG